GCAACAGTTTTATGTTAAAGACAATTTGGTTGTGTTGACAGAGTTTTATAGTAAAATTTGCTTAAGCTGTCCCCGACCAATTGTAAATGTGCATTGGTCTCTGCCAAATATCTGCACTTCTGATAAATAACAACGCAGGATCAGTCTGGTGAAGAAGTAGTTAATGAAACAGATGCACAGAACAGTTCGGATGTATGTTATGATCTTACGATTACTATCATAGTTTCCTAGGTAGAATAATTAAATCTCACATACCCGTGAGCGCGTGGACATGCAAATAAGATTTTGTTTATCTGTCTACTGTCATGGTGTCATAATTAAATTTTATTAACGATATAATCGTATTCTGACTTTAAGATGGGTAGTGTATTATTGCTGATCTCCCTACCAGGTTTTTTCAAATTAACACATCCACAACAAATACTGGCTTGGGACCGAACGACCTCAACCAACAAGCACTGAATAATATGATTGTAATCACTACGTATTGAACGTATCGATTGAAGCTAGAATTGTTAAAAAGAACAGCAGTTTCTTTTCAAAGTAGTATATTTATATCTAGAAGTTCTATTGGATTCTTGCTGCTAATGGATCATAAGAGTTTCCAAAACATAGGCCTGATTTAAACTCAATTCAAAACCGCTTTGCTTCATTATTTTTTAAGGTAGACCTATACAATGTAAACACAATTGCCTTAATTCTGGAATCTTGTACTGTAGTACGTTATATGCAGATGGAATAACCGAATTCGGGGTAAATTTAGATCCGAGTGGAGGTTAGGTAATAATTCTCATTCAGCCTATTTGTTGGTGCGTACGGCTAGAAAAGCACTAGCTTGACGCATTAACTGGAATCAGGGATCGATGCAAGGTATTCAAAAGTCTTTGTTGTTTGATTGATCTCTAAATTATAACATTAATTGTTTCATTTAAGATGGGTAGTGTATTGTTGCTGATCTCCCTACCAGGTTTTTTCTAATTAACACATCCACAACAAATACTGGCTTGGGACCGAACGACCTCAACCAACAAGCACTGAATAATATGATTGTAATCACTACGTATTGAACGTATCGATTGAAGCTAGAATTGTTAAAAAGAATAGCAGTTTCTTTTCAAAGTAAGTAATGTTCCGTTACATATTTATATCTAGTAGTTCTATTGGATTCTTGCTGCTAATGGATAAGAGTTTCCAAAACATAGGCCTGATTTAAACTCAATTCAAAACCGCTTTGCTTCATTATTTTTTAAGGTAGACCTATACAATGTAAACACAATTGCCTTAATTCTGGAATCTTGTACTGTAGTACGTTATATGCAGATGGAATAACCGAATTCGAGGTGAATTTAGATCCGAGTGGAGGTTAGGTAATAATTCTCATTCAGCCTATTTGTTGGTGCGTACGGCTAGAAAAGCACTAGCTTGACGCATTAACTGGAATCAGGGATCGATGCAAGGTATTCAAAAGTCTTTGTTGTTTGATTGATCTCCAAATTATAACATTAATTGTTTCATTT